TAGTATTAGCTCTTTAGTATTAGAATCCCTGCTAGTAAAAACTACTGTGTTGAGTCAGGATCCAGTCAGGAGAACCCAAATATCCAGGTATCTAAACTGTGATTTGGGAAATTCTTAGAAGGGAAATGTTGACTGAGACTTTGCATAGCTAGTTAACACAACCTTTGCTCAAAAAAGCTACCCTATTTCCTTACTAGATTAGGCCTGGAGAATCTAGACTTTAGCCAGTTCAAGCTTTGGCGACATGACAACACTTTACTATTAGGATGGTAGGAATCAAACCAGCGCTCACATATCTTTCCAAAAATAAAAGGATTGCAAGCTTCAGCTAATAAGTGTTGTATACTGTTCAAAAGCGCTGAATCTCCTCTACAAAATAGTGCAAAGAGATTTTGAATTGGATTGATTATTGGGGACTTAGGTATTAAAAAGTAACCGTAGGTCGAGGGTCAAGCTGGGTACCTGCGCCTGCTAACAACTATCGCTTCCACGGATCTTTTCGCTTGAAATTTTTCCAGTATATTAAAGATATACATTAATCAATATTTATACCAAAACTCAAACGACTAGCTTAGATTCTATCGAGATATGAGCCAAAGTTGAAAGTGACCGTTTTTTTGGCCTAAAATGGGGCTTTTTCGAAAAACAAAGATTTTACCTCTAGAAGACGAACAAACAAAAAGTTCTTTTCTTTTATGTTATTTTGGAATAACTTTAATTGGCTGTATTTTCTAACAGAAAACCCGGGCATGACTATTACCAGAAAATGGTCATTTTTGACCTTTCAACTTAAAAGTCACCCAAATCTTTAATAATCAATCCAATTCAAAATCTTTTTACACTATTTTGTAGAGAAGATTCAGGGCTTTTGAAGAGTATACAACACTTATAGGCTGAGGCTTGAAATCTTTCTATTTTTAGAAAGATATGTGAGCGCTGATGTCATTCCCACCAGCCTAATAGAAGGGTCATCCCTTGTTTTTAAAGCAAAAAATGAATTCCACTCTTTTTTAATAAAAAATGTTGTACTCTACTTGAATTACTTTGTGGATGTTTGAATTTGTCCTCAGATCACCAAACTGTTGCATCTAGAATGAGCAGTCCGGTTGGCCGATAGTTCTCGACAATAATTTCCTGCCGGCCACACCCGAAACTCTAAATTCCCAGAGGCAGAGAATGCCGGTGATTTATGGAAACATGAAGGACGAATACGCTTTTGTGTGTACGTTTAATTCATATCTTTTGATTAATAATTTCGGAATTTAAGCGGCTAACTTATTCTCTTTTTAGTATACATATCGATGGGTCCTCCACAAAATGTCCCGATGTCGGTCTTTAGCCGGCAATACGTGCAAAAACTGTTGCAGGACGCGATTCCGTTTTATGGGAGCAGTTTGCCACTTGTATGGAATGTCACTAGCAATGTAGGTTACTTGTGAATCCCATTCTGTCCAATTTGACTTTAGTGTAAACAACTTTTATTGTAAATTCGAATTTGTTGGTTAAAATGGCAAATAATGAGCATTGGGTGATGCTCTTTTCGGCAAATTTGCTTGCGGGTTCGAATTTAGCAAAACATTTTGTAGTTTTATGCCAATAGCAAGTACCCGAATAACGTTTAGGCCTATTTACCCAAAGGGACATCGGACAGTGATGCAGCGACCTGGTGGATGACCGCTAATAATGTATAGTCGAACTATTCAGAGTTGATAAAAGAAAAGATCTTCAGATGCTCACAGGACTGACTTTCACGCAATGGATTGTGAAAGATGCAAAGATGCAATTGGAAAACGAGAACTCGAATGTGTACCTCTTTGAGCAAACATATCCAACAAAGATGATACAACCGAGTGCGAGTGAGGTGGTTACACAGCAATTGGGAGGATATCGACGTGAGTTTCATGAGGCTATAGTACGGAAAATCACAGCTAAACAGCTCTCAATCACAGTTTTCTAGCGGTCGCACACACCGCCGAGCTTCCCTACATTTGGATGATGGCCGATGTTTGGGATGCAATGATGCAAAATAAACAAGTTGGCGAGATCAATTGATTAAGGTTAAAAGAAGTTTTGGGTGAGTGAATTCGATGTGGCACTGGCTAACGCCTACGGACTCTGGTGGACAAATTTTGCGAAACACGGGTAAGCGAATTTTTAATTTATTTGTAAGTTTGCAAATTTTAGACGACCAACTCTGGATGGTTCGTGGTCGCCGGTTCAACTGGGAGCCAATCAACTAAACCATTGGAGAATTGACGATCCGCAAAAGGGTGGAATGCAAACGATTCGAGGCTACAGGGACCGGGATGATTTTGTTTATCAGCAGGTGCTCAATGTATTTGAACGCTTTTGTCTAACAAGAGAATGGCCCAAACAGACGATTTCGCGACGCCGCTGAAATGCAAACGCCTGCGGAACAGCATAGAGACGGGGCTCTATTTATTTTTACCCATTTTCATTGGTTCACAAGAGAAACGCTTGCAAAGTTTGGGTACTTCGGAAATCGCACCTGATGTATAGGCTCTTTCCCTTCCCTTCAACATGACCGGATGGTATAGAGATATGTGTGCGCCCTTAATTCTACTTTTGCTTTTTTGCCTTTTGCTTTTGCAACCAGATCCGAACCAGGGTCAAAAAAGCAAAAGTAGGATTAGGAGCGCGCACACTTACCTCTACACCGTCCGGTCACGTTTGAGGGAAAGCGAAAGAGCGTATATATATTCCCGAGTCCAAACCTTGCAAGTGCTTTTCTTGTGAACCATTGAGAATGCGCAAAAATAAATAAAGCACCGTGTTCCCTATGCTCGAGAGGCGTTTGCATCGTTTGGTCCCGCAAAATCGTTTAGCCAGTTTGAACCATTCCCTTGTAAACTATTCCCTTGTAAGACCATCATACCCACTCTCCACATCCATCCCGTCTATCATACGAACATGTCTCTCCACATCCATTGATCCCAGTCTCATTGAATTAAAAACTTATAAATTACTAACTATCATAATTTCGTTGTAATAAGCGACTAAATTTTGAGCTATTTTTTTAACTATTTAATCACCCAAACAAAACATATTTGGTTTTCAAAAAAAATCATTCCGAAATCTCCTCTCATTTTCAGCTTCTCCCAAATTTACTCGCTCGACGGTCAGCAGAGACGAGCAACACACAATCATTTATCCAAGCTGTAACCAATAAATATTGATTCATAACTGGGCAAAAAGACTTTTGCGTTGGAAAATATTATGGTTTTCTAATTTCACCTCTGTTTCACCTCTGTTTAACAAAAATTCAATATAGATAGACATTTTTTGACGAATACAAAACTGTTTTTTCCACAATGATCCAACAAAACACCTATTCACAAAAAATGTCTTGAGACTTTCGAAAGCTCATCGATTTTAATTGAGGATGTAATTCTTGACCTGTAATTGAACAGACCAACTAGCCCTCTCTTCTGTTTCTGCAGGTTTGATCTCAAAAATGACGTCATTCATATATGTGCATATAGAGAAGTTTTTATGCATAAAATAGTGAATTAAAGGAGGGCTCTGAACGATTCTCACTAAAACCAAATTGGTGGCAGATAGATGACGAGAATTTTTTGATGAAGTTTCATGTAGAAATGATTAAAGTAAATTGGTTTATAAGGCATTAAAAGATGAAACCAGCTCTTTGTAGGTCAATCTTGAGTTTTTAGGTAGCTGGGTTGTGGAAAATTGTAGCCAAATTGAAGCCAAGAAATTGATCCTAAAAATTTGGGCCCAGCTACCCCGAGAGAGGGAGGGTTCACTCGTCTCTCACCATTCCTTCTCCTTAGATGATTCCAAAAGGGAAGCACCATATACCGAAGCGGTTTGCCAGACGGCGAGTGATTATGCGTCCGTACAAAGAAGACCTCGCCAGTCATTTACACAGTGATTTTTCTTTTGTTCTGCAAACGATTCCCAAATGAGATTTAATGTTAAAAATTTGGGTTTTCAGGATCGTAGAACCTATTGGCAGAGTCTATTTTAACCTTTGTGAGTAGAAAGAATCAACGAAAAGATAGTGATCGATCTCTCTAAATGAACAAGTTTTTCTCGTTCTATCAAACCTCTGGCCTATTTGGTCATGATATTGATTTTCTAAAAAAACCGCTTCATTGCTTAAGAAAATTCTCTATAAAATTCGATGAACTCATTCATATATCAAACATTAATTCAATTTGCATGTAATTATCTAGAAAAATTTCCACTGGCTTGCAGGAGCAGGTGATTGCAAGGTCGGCCGACCTAGTTTCTGCATCTTCTACAAACTTCTGTGTCGACCATCAAATCCTGTTATCATTTTGAAATGAACATCGAATTACGGCTGTGAGGCAAGTTCCATTTCTTGCCCAATTGATTGTTCTCAGCTTTCCTTTCCTTCGGCCTCCGGGAATTTTCCCGCAAATATGACAATGTTGCAGAAAAATTGTGATAACTCAACAATGACGTACGTCGGTTTATCATCTTCAATAACTTCATCTTCGCTCGAACTCATCTCAAATAAAAAGTCCAAAAAAGAAATGATTCTAATTTTCTGCGAGGGCAGTGGCTTGCCAGCTGACACGCTCAAACCTGTAGAACCCTGTAGAACTTCAAACCTCAAACCGCGACAGGAGATGCTCATTAACAAAAGTTTGCCGAATATGGCAGGATCAACCGTTTTTTTTCTGTCATTTTTGGTATACAAAGCATCAAATAAAAGCAAAATGATAGTTATTGGTGGAAAAATTTTTCACTTGGAATCGTCCCCGCCCCCTTGAATTCCATTGAATTCCACGATCTTGAGCTCAACGATGCTAACGCTCAACGGTCAACGACCGATTCTCAAAAGTCCCCAAACGGAAAGCAAAGCCAAGAATCGGCAAAAGGGAAAGTAAAAAGGGAAAGCAACAAGAAATCCACAACTTTATTTGGCTACCATACAGATTTGTTTTTGTTTTAATAAAGCCGATTTCATTTTATTTTCAACACCACTTCTAGGGTTCAATATCAAAAGAAATGGTGTTGCGTTCCTTTGAGTAAAGTGTCACTTCGACCCATGGTCCATGTGTGATCACAAATGTCGATCCTCCAGCATCCGCTTAACACAAATCATGTAATATGTATTGTGTATGTATGTAAAACACTTCAGAGACGACAAGCCAAGGCAAGATCAAGCCTATCTTTGCTCTGGAAATGTTGTATTCTGTTTGATATAATAGAAAGCAGAAATAAACTGAAAACATTTGCAGATCTTGGTGCCCTCTTTTTCGCCTTGTGCCTTAACCGATTCGATGGTGGGGCCCATTTGCACGCGCACGTTGGAAGTACACTAAAGTAGGGCATTTCTTCGAAACTTCTACTTTGCTGCACATCAGTATTTGTATTTTTACAAAAAGCATCAAGAAGCCAAACGTTCTCGTAGTCAACCTCAATTTTCTCACCGATTGAGCTGTCGTAAAGCCGGTAATGGTGACCTTTGATCCTCCCTTGATAAAGACACGACATTTCGGGTTCACTTTCGAGTCCGGATAGAGGCTGTTTTGCATTTTGACTTGCATAAACCCGTTGCTGTTGTCCTTGTAGATTATTCCATCGCATTCGACCACTGAAACACGCAAAAGTTTATCAGTTTGCAACAGTTTGCATCTGATTAGTTCTATAAACAGATGATAGGATTCTTTTGTTGTTTATTACACTTTTAAGTTGTTCGAACGTTCTAGATTACAATTTATTTGGTTTACATCTAATGGCGAGGAAAAGAGTCTCATTTTCCACTTACTATTTGGCGCGTCCAGGAAATTCCGGATCCAACAAACCCTAAATGATCGACCAGTTATTTAAGAAGTTACCTAGAAATGGGTAACGAACGTCGCTGGATAATATGGAGTCGGAGATTGAAAAAATTAGGGCATGTTAATTGTGCTATTATAATTGTTAAAAGTCAAAAAGTGGTCAAATATTGCGAAGAGGGGTAGGGTTTAATTTTCAAAGTAAAACGCCTACCGCTCCCTACAAAACAATCAACATTTCAACGATCATCAACAAGAATAAGCGCATTGTTTTAGAAAATAAAAACTGAAAAAACCAAAAACAGAAAAGAAAACTTCTGCATCACCCTAAAAGCTGAAACTTTATATTTATTCATTTCTATTTCTATTTCTATATATATATATGCTTTATTCAAAAGGCTCATAAAAGCGAATCAGAAAATCATAGACGCAAATAACATATTATCATATTTAAAAACTTAAAAATAACTGTGCGATGCTTTATCTAAAAGCGTTCCATTTTCGGCTCCACCGCTCCACAAAACAGCGTAGTAAAAAATGATTTTCTATAAGTGCGTTGTGGACAAAAAGTTTTTCACGAGCAATCATGGCTTCAAGCGAAGCCCTTACACTACTACAATATTGTGCTGGAGTCTTTTTGTTGTTCAGTTTTCACTTGTTACACTATAGTATATTCTCTGAAACAATGAACAAATGGAACACGGCGATGGCAGAGAAGTGAAAAAGCAAGAGCAAGTTTAGACTAGATGCCAAAAAGGATGGCTTCAGTTTTCATTCCGCCCATATCTCGCTCGAGCATCTGCCCGTTTTTCCTCTAGTTTTCGCACCCATCCATTTCACTGTTGGTTCGTTGATCAGAAGTGTGTCAAAAGATGGTTCGTTGGTCGACATCTATTTATGTATTTTACGTTACTTTGATCGCTTTCACATTGGGATGTCATCGACCGCAACTGTGGGTTCTGGTTATATACAGGGTGCGTCATAATTATTGCAACAAGATACTCAAGGCATTGCACACCAAGAAGTTTCACTGGAAGAAGATTTTTAAACAGAAATAGCTTTATTTAACAGTAACAAATAAGGAAACAAGAGATCATTCGATATGACCGCCTTTTGCCTTGATAACAGCCCTTAATCGGTTCGGATATGCCTCCACTGCGGCCCGAATGTCATCTTGAGGAATCGCCTTCCATCCTTTGGTCAAAGACTTCTTCAAAGAATCCAAACTTGTGTGTTTTCCTCTAAGATTGCCCAAATGGAAAAGTCCATCACATTGAGATGCGGTGAGTTTGGAGGCCATTCATCCTTGGTGATCACTGAGGGAAAGTTGGCCACACACCGTCTTCTCCGTGTGAGCGGGAGCTCCATCTTGCATGAAGGTCCAATTTTGATTGTTATTGGCTTTACACGCCCATGACGCGCCCGTTTTCCTGTTTGGAAAACGGTCTTTGAACTCTTGTTGCAATAATTATGACGCACCCTGTATTTGTCCAGAAATCATCGTTGCTTTTTCTAATTGTTTGCACAAAGTTTGAAAGTTATGACACATAATTAGTTGGAGTAGCACTTTTCAAATTAGAATGAACAGTAATTTGTATTCGATAGAAAAGGACCGTACAAATAAGAAATACGGTTGTCACATGGAGCTATAATACCGTATTATGACTAAACAAGAATGTATTAGGTCTCAACTTCAATAGAGAATTGTCTTTCTGAAATCATCTTTTCATGTTTTTCTATTTATGGTGACATGAAACCGAATAATTTTAAAGCCGCATTTTAGGGCCGGTTCTCGATGAAACTTGCTAATAAAACATGTAGGTTAAAGTGTTTTAAAGGTCAAAATAAGCCAAAAACCAAATGAAATCTTCTTTTCCTGTTTTTCCATTTATGGTGCCATGAAATCGAATAATTCCCGAATAATTTATTGAACTTATAGCAACAAATATAGCCAACCAACCGTCAGAAATGGCAGCAAATTCCTCATCATTCGTCATCAAACGGGAATGGCTGAGTTCCTTCCGGGCAGCTCTGGGCTTGGATTGCAATCAAGAACGCGCCGAAGAAAAGCGCAAAACTCAAGAAGTTCATTTCGCACAAATGATGTTCTCTTATCGGGGTGAAGCTCGGCACACGTGATTCACAAAATACAATTACCCCACTCTTATCATGCTTACACTCCCAGTTCAAAGATTCTAGAGATTCTAGTGTTCAAGTCAGCAACTTTCGAGAAGGACTGAAAGTGTATCATCACATAATACACATAATAATTTAGTGCATAAGTCCCTAGAAGCTTTCAAAACTTCTGGATATCTCAAATTGGATCGATTCATGAACCAACTGGATGCCATTTGACTCATTACTTATAGGCCAATCCAATACAGGAAGTTCGACGCGCTTTTAATCAGTTCTGTCAAAAGCAGGTGGTTTTTTTAATCAGCAAAAAGTTTGAAAATGTTTTTTTGTTTGAAAGTTTGAACATTTCAGAGAATCAAAAAATTAGAAAAGAGTTAGGGGATTGGATCGAGAACGGAGAGATTCTCCAACCAAGACTTCATATTTTGCAATGCTCGACGAACCATTTATCTACTGATGGTATGAAAATGTTCTAGCAATGATCTCCACTCCACTCAACCTATTCACAATGTATTGCATCTTGCTGCACACACCACCAGAAATGAGGGAATATCGAGCACATTTAGTGTATACCAGGTATGCCAATGTATTGGGGCAGACTCGACGGTCCTCTTTGGTCGAGACTGAAAACAAAAATTGTGCGCCGGTCAGGAGTACCGGGCGACCACTAATGGACTACAGTGAAACTCATATCCAATTGGATGTGACGATATTTTATTACGGTCTTATAAATTTATAGGGGATCGCGTTGTTGGTGGACTTCGTCATTCTCCTCATTCGCCCTGAACTCAATTTCCCCGCGTTATCCGGGAGAATCTTTGGCGTCTGGGATACGTGGTTTCAGCTGGGAGCTGGACATGCTTTGGTTAGTGAAGAGCTTCAATAAAATTTGATGATAAAATCAATAATCTTTCGGGGTAGGCATAGAAGCTGGAAAAAGCAGATCGGTTTTAACCGACCCAGTTTAACCGACCCAAGGTTTTAACCGACCCAGTCGTAAACGGCTACGACATAAATATTGCTACTGACTACTGAATC